TCACTTTCTGTTGTTGCCTCCTAGTTTTCACTTGCTCTCCTGCTACTTTCTTAGGTTCAGCTATGTGTCAACACAAGTATCTAATCAGCCAATCACATGGCAGCAACTCAATGCTTTTAGGCATGTAGTCATGCTCAAGGCAACCTGCCGATGTTCAAACTGATCATCGGGATGGGGAAGGAAGATGATTTAAGTGACTTCAAAAACTGCAGACCTACTAATTTTTACGGAGTTTACAGGGACTAGTCTGAAAAAGAGAAAATATCCAGTGAGCAGCAAAGTGGATCTCAGAGGTCAGAGGAGAATGGCCAGACTGCTTTGAGCCCAACGTAAGGTTTAAAGTAAACTTAAATAACCACCCAAGGTAAGGTATCTCAAAGTATCTCCGGAAACAGTTCAGTTTTATTTATATAGTGCCAAACTACAACAACAACTGTCTCAAGGGGGTTTATATTGTTAAGGTAAAGACCCTACAATAATGCAAAGAAAACAGAGAAAACCCCAACAACAATATGACCCCCTATGAGCACTTGCTTTGGCAACAGTGGAAAGGAAAAACTCCCTTTTAACAGGAAGATACCTCCAGCAGAATCAGGGCAGGAAGGGGCGGCCATCTGCCACAATTAGTTGAGTAGAGTGGATGACGACAGGACAAAGACATGCTGTGGAAGAGAGCCAGAGATTATTAACACATCAAACATCAAACACATGAAACCTGGGTGCCACTCCTGAAGCTAAAAACTGGACACAGGAGGTACAATTAGCATAGGTTCACAATAGTAATAATAATAGTAATAATGATGATGATGATGATTAGTGGTGCAACGGATCACAGTTGATCCGTGATCCGAACCGATCCCACTCCACGGTTTGGCACGCACGTGATCCAAAGATTCGAAAAAGAAAAAAAAAGCGGTCCAAGTCGAGGAGCAGAGTTTGCGGCATTTAAGCAGCCCTTTGCTGCCCAATCCGACCGGGCTAAAGCTATTACAAAAGCTATTGGGGTCTATAGCTGCAGACATGAGGATGTATTCCATTGTGCAAAACAAGTGGTTTAAACATAGGATGAACATGGTTGAGCCACGCTGTGATATACCGTTGCGCGTCCACTTCAGTAAAAAGCATGTATGAGCAGGAAAAGTCTAAAGTTATGGCTGAACTGTCCCAGGATTCTTCTGCTGCCCTAACTACAGATGGGTGGATCTCCAGGACAACATAAAGCTACGTGACCGTGACCGCGCATTATATCACAGCAGAGTGGTACATACAAAGCTCTGCACTGCCCTATATTGCACATTAATTTGTTTTATATGAGTTTTTATATGAGTCTTACGTTGAATGTTTTTTAACGGGCAGAAAATACGTAAATAAATAAATGGCGAGTTACATTTTTCTTGTCTTTTTTCTTTTTTTGCTGATCTGAAAATCGATCCGATCCATGACTTAAAACCGTGAGTTCTTTGATCCATTGCACCACTAATAATAATAACAGATAATAGAAGACTGAATAATTGTTGCTTGCTCTGGTGACTCTTGAATTGTGCTCCAACATTTGGATGATAGGTCAGAATTTGGCATAAACAACATAAATGCATGGATCAAAAGCTACTGTTTAATGGTGTGGGGGATATCTTCTTGGCATGCATCTGAGCATTATTTAACAGTATAAAGTATTGTAGCTGATCATGTCCATTCCTTTATGGCCAGAGTGTACCATCCTCTGATGGTGGAATCCATCATGGTGATGTTCAAATTATCTTAATTTTGGCCTCCACACTGACCAATCCAACAGAGCACATTTTGGATGTGATGGAACAGAAAATTCCCATCATGGATGTGCAACCAACAACTGCAGCTGTGTGTTGCTATCAGAGATGGGC